GAATACAATAATTTTATGGTTATTTTTGTTGCTTTAATGGTAGTTTATATATTTTTGCAGTTTATATTTTTTGCATGTTTAATTGTGCTTTACTTTTATGCACGTTTTTATGGAAGTTGCCTTGTAAGAGTATTTATCCTAAATATTTTACATATACTACCTTACATGTGAAGGCTTCGCTCTGTATTCCAAGAGCACAGTGTTTAAAGATTAATCACACTTGGATGCGTCTCTCTTTTCATTTCAGTCTCTATTTTAGAATATAAATAATAAAGTACCTTAGTATAGTTTATATTATAAATATTGGTAGGCTCATGCAATTCAGTCTTATTTTTTATTTTATAAAAGGTAGTAGTTTTCTTTGCAACAAAAAAATGCTAAGAAAAAAATACAAATAGTCTTTAAAAAACCCCCAATATATAAACATAGTAAAGCTGCCAGAAATAATTACGGGAGAAAAACAATCCAAGATGCACAACAGAATCTGGCAAAAGCCTTTGACAACAAAACATTTAACTTTGCATTGGAAGCAAAATAAAGAAAGTGAAAACTGTGTCCCTAGGAAAACCCTTTTACCCACTCCCCTTAATGTACTAAAAGGTTTCTTTCGCTAAAGATACACTTGTGTGTAAGTCGATTAAAAACAAGCCACACAAAATAACTATGTCGACTTATATTTAGGCCATTAGTGCATTAGGGACTCAGTGCAATGGCAGAGAAAAGAAGCAGAAGCAAGAAGCACCTCCACCTTATTGTTCAAACCATAGAAAGAAAAGTAGCCCTCCTTCCTCGCCTTCTGTTTTTGGCTTGAGCAGAGACCCAGCAACAATGTGGGAGAGCCATTTTTGTTATTGAGGCAGATCAAAGTGCAGAAGGTTCTCTGCAGACTTCTTCCTGGTTTTTTGGTTTTTTTTGTCGTGTCAGGAGCAAGTTACTTCTGGTGTGAGAGAATTGGCTGTCTGCAAGGACGTTGCCCAGGGGACGCCTGGATGATTTGATCGTGGGAGGCTTCTCTCATGTCCCCGCTTGAGGAGCTGGAGCTGACAGAGGGAGCTCATCCGCCTCTCCCCAGATTCAAACCTGCGACCTGTCGGTCTTCAGTCCTGCCGGCACAGTGGTTGAACCCACTGCGCCACTGGGGGCTTCCTGGTGATGATGTCCTTACTGTGCTCCCTTGCACAGTAGGAGAAGGCAATGCAGCTTCCTACTTTTCTATCCAGTGATGGAGCAGTCGCTCTGCTTTGACACCCAGAGAAGGCAGGATGGTTTTCCTTCTTCTCCCTGTCAGTGAAGTGGTGGTGACAGCAGCTGTTCTTCCCTAAACAGAGGCTATTGTGTGAATGTGCACACTACATCTTCAGTAGGAAGTTGATGGCGATAGAGGTAATTCTTTCAGATCCCTTGCTTGAAGCCTAGGGCTATTGTGTGAATAGGTGATAAGCAAAACTGCCTATATAGGATCTGTGGATATGAGGGTCTTACTGTAGGCAGACTATAAATATAGTAGTAGTAAATTAAGTTTATTATTATTGGACTGTTGTGTGATTTCTGGGCTGTATAGCCGTGTTCTGGCAGAATTTTCTTGTGACGTTTTGCCTGCATCTGTGGCTGGCATATTCACAGGATTATGATGCTCTGAAGATGCTGTCAGAAATATTAAATATTAACTAGATGTTTTTAATTACAAAAATGTGAGTTAAGCACTGAAAGGGTTAAATGGATGCAAAAGCTGTAGCTCAATATAAACAGGTGTGCCTGTAGCTTAGCAGTCCTCAGTCTGTAAGAGGTCTCTGTGGAAGAAGGCCCTCAGTGTGTTAGTAGACCTCAGTATGAAAGGCCTCAGTGTTAGTTCACCTCAGTATATGAGAGGCGTTAGTCTGAGAGAGCCCTCAGTGTGAGAAGGCCTCAGTGGAGAAAGGCCTCATGAGTAGGCCTGGTGTGAGAAGCTTTGGTGAGAGGTCGTGTGTGTGAAGGCTGCTGTGTCTAAAAAGCTACTGTTGGAAGCTCCTGTGTAACTTCGGTGTGAGAAGAGGCTCTGTTAGAACAGTGGTTCTCAACCTGTGGCTCCCCAGGTGTTTTGGCCTACAACTCCCAGAAATCCCAGAAAGTTAACCAGTTGGAGAACAAGCCTTATGAGGAACGGTTTAAGGAGCTAGGCATGTTTAGCCTGAAGAAGAGAAGGCTGAGAAGGGGATATGATAGCCATGTATAAATATGTAAGAGGAAGCCACAGGGAGGAGGGAGCAAGCTTGTTTTCTGCTTCCCTGGAGACTAGGACGTGGAACAATGGCTTCAAACTACAAGAAAGGAGATTCCATCTGAACATGAGGAAGAACTTCCTGACTGTGAGAGCCGTTCAGCAGTGGAACTCTCTGCCCCGGGAGTGTGGTGGAGGCTCCTTCTTTGGAAGCTTTTAAACAGAGGCTGGATGGCCATCTGTCAGGGGTGATTTGAATGCAATATTCCTGCTTCTTGGCAGGGGGTTGGACTGGAGGGCCCATGAGGTCTCTTCCAACTCTTTGATTCTATGATCTATGTTGGATTTCAGGGAGTTGAAGGCTAAAACATCTGGGGATCCACAGGTTGAGAACCACTGTGTTAGAGCGAAGCTGTTGATCTGCATGAGAAAGAAGCCCAGCATGGAAGCAAAGAAAGAAGCATACATAACTTTATTTGTGTTATTTGTGGTACTGGGTCACGCTGCTGCTAATAAGTTACTCTGCTGTGCATTGATGAGGAGGGCCTTTTGGTTATTAAGCCCACTCACCCAACAGATGCCAGCCACAGATACAGGTGAAACATCAAAAGAAAATGCTGCTAGAACATGGCCATACAGCCAAGAAAGCATACAACCATACTCCAGTGATTCTGGCCATGAAAGCTTTTAACAATACATTATTATTATTATTATTATTATTATTATTATTATTATTATTATTAGTTGTTGTAGTTGTAGTAGTCATAGGGTAGTGATTGCCTTCCTTTTTTCAGACTCAGAGCAATAGTCTGGGTCAAGTTTGTTTCTATCCAGTACATTATTATTTATTATTTACTGTATTTATATACCGCCTTTCTAACCCTTAGGGAGACTCAAGGCGGTTTACAACATACTAATGGTGAAAATTCAATGTGAACATACAGTACACAATAAATCATAATAACTAATTACTACATATAACTATGAACTTAAAATCAATTAAAACCATGAAACATAAGACACATATAAAATAATAGTTCACCACCCAAAGGCCAAAGAATCCTTATGGTATCTCACCTCTGTTTGCTTGTTTGGGGGCAACTATGTCCACTGCCTTCCTCCATATCTTCACAATCTAACATCCACAATCATCTGCTTGATTTAAGAACACTCAATTCATAATATGTCATGCTAGAAACTTCTAATTGTCTTTAGAAACTTTTCAAAAACATTTTTAGTTTCTCCATAAAGAACGGTTGGTTTTGTTTATGTGGAAGATCTTTTTATACATTGTAGAGAAATTCAGAAAGGCCGAGTCTGTTAGGACATTCTGATTCAGTATGTCAATAAAGAAGGAAATCCAGAGAGTGAATTGAAAAGTCAGAGTGGTTGTGGGTCAGCAGAGGGCCTCAGTTATCTGGATTCGGTGCATGAACAATGTCTTTAATATCTGGGAGAGTGAGCATGTGCCACAATTTAATGAAAAGAATCAAAGAAATGTTTCTCGTTGGCATTAATTACACTGTTTGTTTTCCAAACCTATAGGCAATCCCAACAAGCACATACTATTTCAGTTTGTTTAGTGGCTGTCGAATAGCTGCTGAGATATTTTTAGAATTTGGTTTCCTGGGTGATGGTACTGTGAACTCTTTGCTCTTAAGCACAAAGCTTAAATTCTGAGACAAATATAAATAAGATTGAATTACTGGCTTTTGTTTTTCCCTTTGCAGCAAGATTTTCATATTTATTTAGGTTACAGTGTAATTTAGATTGACTACTTGCATATGTATGTCATTATAGGGTAGTAATCCCTTCTGTAATCTGCATTAATTCACCCATTTTGTGATTTTTACTGCTCCTGTGTCCAAATCCATTGTAAGAAAAGTTTTTTTTTAATGGCGAGTTTCTTAATTGTGGATTATTATAAACCAATATAAAATAATTTGAATTCATTTTCCATTTAATACGTTCAGTTAAGATGGGGGTAGTCTAGCACAGTGATTAATAATAATAACTTTATATTTTGCTCAGTTTTCCCCGGGGACTCCGAGGGGATTACAGTATATGTACTGGCACAAACACAGGCAAACATTTAATGCCTTGGTAGACTGAGACAGACATTCACAGACAAAAGCACAGGCAAAGGCTTCCCCTTTCATCTCTGGCTTCTGGAGGCGGTGCTTGGCTCTGGGGAAGGTGTTCATCTCCATTTCCAAGCAGAGGAGCCTGCGTTGTCCATAGACACCTCCTGGTTGCGTGGCCAACATGTTAGCTTGGAGCGCCTGTTTGCCTTCCCACTGAGGTGGTGTCTATTGATCTACTCAACATTTGCATGTTTTTGAACTGCTAGGTTGGCAGGAGCTGGGCCTAACAGTGGGAGCTCACCCCAACACACAGATTTGAACTGCCAACCTTCAGGTCAACAAGTTCAGCGGCTCAACAGTTTAACCTGTTGCGCCACTGCGGCCCTATTAAGAATACGAACATGTAGTTAAAATCATACCTTAGCCTAGCTGATTTTTAGTTCCCATTCTTTATCTACGTTCTGTACGAGGATAATAATGGTATCCCAACATTGTGAGGTTTTGATGGATATAACTGAGATGCTGTTTTGAAGCCTGTTAAACACTTCAAATGCACAGATGTTGGGAACAATTTTTCAATATATGAGGGGAAAATATTGGTACATAAATTGTGTTTGTCAAGCATACTGAAACTGGCTAATATATATTGGGTGCCTGAATGCTTTGTTTATGTGTATGTCATTATATTGTTCGCATTGACTTTTTTCTTCTTCATATAGACAGCTGAAAAAAGTGGAAACCCAAGTCAAATAAGCCAAGGTAAGAAAGCCTTTCATTACTCCAGTTTGTAGTACTCTTGAATCATGTATGTTTCATACATTGTCAGTTTATTCTGTGGAATACAGTTTAGGACTGTTGGAGAAATGGTTGACAGGTTTGAAATTCAAGATCATAAATTGCTTTTCTTGTCATAAAAAGATCTCTGAATAAGACTGTCCATCACATTTAGGATCTTGCTTTCCAGATTTAGCAATCAGATTAGGACATGGAAGAAACCATGTCCAGTAGGAACCATGTTTTCCATTTCCGTCTTCCAGTTTTTGTTTGGGTTTGTCCATACTGCCAGTGAGGTTAGAGGATGCATATAGATGTTATGGCTGACAAATAATAATAATAATAATAATAATAATAATAATAATAATAATAATAATAATGAGGGAAGTCAATAGTAGTAAACTGCTTAAAATGCAAAAACACAATCCAGAGCAGAAGAGAAAACTGGCAAAAGAAGGCACTCCATGGACAGTTTCTGGCAATAATTGAGAGCCAAATTGACAAAGAAAAAACATGGATGTAGCTCACAAATAGAACTCTGAAAAAGGAGACGGAGGGCCTGATTCTGGCAGCCCAAGAACAAGCCATTCGAACCAATGCCATCAAAGCCAGAATTGAAAAGTCACAACAGATCCCAAATGTAGACTCTGCAAGGAAGCAGATGAAACAATAGATCACATCCTCAGCTGTTGCAAGAAGATTGCGCAGACAGACTACAAGCAGAGGCATAACACCGTTGCTCAGATGATTCATTGGAACTTGTGCCACAAATACCATCTGCCTGCAACAAAGAACTGGTGGGATCACAAGCCGGTAAAAGTAACAGAGAATGAACACACGAAACTCCTCTGGGACTTCCGATTCAGACAGGCAGAGTTTTAGAGCACAATACTCCTGACATCGTAATCGTGTTAGAAAAAACAAAGTATGGATCATCAATGTCGCAATCCCAGGTAACAGCAGGATTGCAGAGAAATAACTTGAAAAGCTGACATGATATGTGAATTTAAAGATTGAACTGCAAAGACTCTAGCACAAGCCAGTCAAGGTCGTCCCAGTGGTGTTCGGCACACTGGGTGCAGTGCCTAAAGACCTTGGCCTGCACTTAAACACAATCAGCGCTGACAAAATTACCATCTCCCAGCTGCAGAAGGCCACCTTACTGGGATCTGCACGCATTATTCGCTGATACATCACACAGTCCTAGACACTTGGGAAGGGTCCGACATGTGATCCAATACAACAGCCAGCAGAGTGTCTGCTGTGGACTCCTTGAATGTAATAATAATAATAATAATAATAATAATAATAATAATAATAATAATAATTTATTTATACCCCGCCACCATCTCCCCAAAGGGACTCAGGGCGGCTTAATTAGCATTCATTGGTACCAACCAACACATAAATACAATACATCAACATATAAAATCAATAACACATTTACATAAAACCAGACATATAAAATTAATAAAAGCAACCTCTATTAAATAAAATCATTAAAATGTCACTATATCCATTGATTTACAACTGATTTAGCAGCCCAGCTGTAAACCATCATAGATGTACCCTCCTTGAATTGTCCTGTTTCCTTTTTACGATTGTTTAAGCTGTGGCCTTCATCACATCTTGTGATGGGGTAAGATCTATAAATTAAATCCTGGGTGAAGATGCTCTGAATTTGTAGGATACTCTGAATCCTACAAAGCAATTTGATTACACGATTTCTAGTATTATGATAGAGCAAGAAGAATGTACCTCTTTCTTACTTACTTAGGCGATCCCTCGTAGCCCGAGGATGATGGTCCTCCAAGTGTAGTGTCTTGGGTCCGTAGGTGGCTGTGAAACCCTATTCTTGATCCTCATGTTCTCCCACAGTGAGGTCATTGGGTTCAAGGTGGAAGGCGGTCCCAGTCAGGGTTGGCTTGATGCACCTTCCTCTTGTAGCATTTCTCCCTTTCGCCCTCCATTTGTGTCTCTTTGAATTCTGCAGCACTGCTGGTGACAGCTGACCTCCAGTTAGAGTGTTCAAGGGCCAGGGCTTCATGAGAAACCTTTTTCTACATTTTCTCCATTATGCATAGTCCTGTAAATATCAGTAGTATTTCTTCTTGGATGCTTCCTCCCCCAATTTTTGAATCCTCCCTAAGCCTTTCTTCAAAAGATTTTGGTTGCTTTTTTTCTTTACCTTTTCAAACTATCGAATCCATTTGGAAATCGGTAACTTGAGCTTTAAACAGTATTTCACATGTGCCTTCCTCAGAGATTTGTAGAAGCGGTTCATGGTACTGACAAGATTATTTTCCAATTCCATTTTTGTATTGGAACAGGACAGACTATTTGCCCATCTGGCTTATTGGCAGTGTCTTTCTAGTGTGCCAGGCAAAATTTCCTATCACTTGCTACCTAATTTCTTTGGCTAATGAGCCTGAGATCGAATCTTGGATTTCTGCATGCAAAAGCATGTGTTCCATCACTAAGAACGTAGTTGCTCCTAATTCCTCTTTCCCCTTTTACCACCAATTAAGGATTTTCTGAATTTGATAGAGTGTTTCTATGCTTCAGTTTAGTATGGTTGTGTTAACCTCTTTCTTAATGCCACTCCTCTAGTCAAAAATATATTTTATTAATGAAGCAGTGTAAAACTGTATCATTGCATGTATGGTTGTCAGCTGAATACTGATTAAACATGATGATGATAATAAGCTAGAATTAATCTATCTTGTTCTTCAGATCCTCAAGTTGATTTGTGCCGAGTTCATAATTAATCAGTCTTTTTGGAACATCCTTTAATCTCAAAATTATTTTCAGTGAATTTTGGCATGTGCTACTTTGTCATTAGAATGAGCAATGAGATGGATAAGAAAAGCAGCCAACGTTGCAAGTAACATATTCACAAACATGTTGTAAATGTTTTCCCAAGGAAAAAAAAGAAAAGAAAAGAAAAAGGGAAAAAATATTTTAAGTTGCCAACTGGATTTTTTTTTGTTCTACTAAACACACACACAGCCTGGGCTTACTATTTAGTCTACATTTAATGGAATAGAATATCAGTGCGGAGACAATTTAGACTTTAAATGACATGAAATTTAGAAGCTTCCTAGAACTACTGGCGTTTATACTATGGTGCAACAAATATTGGCATGCTATTTCTTTTATGTGCCTGAATTATTTGGGGGTTTATTTATGTATAACAGTCTAATATACATAAACAATTCACAGTAGAAAAATATTAATACGCAGTTTTATGATGAGATTTGCAACATTTGAAGAATACCCTGAGAGTCTTTGTGATTGTTTGGGAAGCAGATGTAAATAGGAAACTTCTCTAATTAGCCTTTGAAGCAGCTATGAAGTAAAATAATTTTGCACTGCAAGCTTGTATATCTTTTGATTAGCACAGAGGATATTATAAAGGTTAGAGGACAGTGTAAACATACAATAATGCAGGAACTGTGCAAAAGAAAGATTAAATGATGCGATTATGCAGTGCAGTTCTTCCCATTTCTTTTCACAAAGTCAGCAATTAAATATTCAAGGAAACATACCTAGATGTTAATACCTAAAACACAATAAAACCATACATCTGCACTCAGTTGCCACTTGTTTGTGGACATATAGATCTGTATCAGAAACCTCACATGCTACATATGAAAGGCCTCACTCGGATTCTTAAGAGCAGAACTTTCCAAACGGTGTGTTGTGACATATTAGTGCAGACGTATCAGACTTGTGGTCCTTTAGATGTTTGGGCCACCAGCACCCAGAAGCCCTAGCCAGCTTGTCCAAATGGGCTGGAATTTTGGGAGCTGAAATCCAAAACACCTAGGGACCACATGTTTGACACTACTGCGTTATTGGATAGACTTCAGTGTGCAGATAAGTGGTCCCCATCCTTTTTTTGATGAGGGACCACGTTGACCAGGGACCATTCACTAACATTAGTACCAAAAGGGTTACGAATCAGTTTTTCATCAACTTTAGATTTAGTTTGGCTATTTGGGGTGCTGATTCAGAAAATTGCATTGGGTAGACCACATCAGCTCTAGGAATTTAAAAATTGGTTGTTCCGTTGTGCTTTTCATTAGGCAGTTCACCAGAGAATTTTCCTGTACTTTAGCTTGGCCCCTTTCCTGCACTTTTGACTAATGGTTAAGGGCACTGTCCTTCCAGCCCAGCCCTCTGATTGTTGCACTTTCCCTCAGCTCTATGTAGGAATCATTGCACTTGGGAATCATGATCCCGAACCTAGCATTTGTTATTCATCCATTATATTGTTTATATGATGTTACCTGATTATGATGTTTTGTTGATTTGTTGTTGTTGATGATTATATTTTCTGTGCTTGTTTTAACCTGTATTTCTTGGGTTTGTCCCTTTGTAAGCTGTCCCGAGTCCCTTCGGGAAGATGGAGGCGGGGTATAAAAATTAAGTTATTATTATTACTGTTATTATAGCCTCTGATACATAACATATGTCATCCAGTAGTCACCATCTATTCACCTACATAAAACCATATTTAATAATCTAGAGCTAATGTGGTCTATCCAAGGGGGTGAGGCAGGTCAGTGACAGGGAAGGAGTAGCAGGCGGCACAAAAGGAGTGGAAATAAAATAAAGAGGAAGGAGACTCGCAGACCAGATTTTCGTTCTCCCAGCCCACTGGTGGTCCGCGCCCCACAAGTTAAGAATCACTGGTGTAGATGTATCATGTGAACGCAACAAGAAACATCTAAGTCTCTGTGAAATTAGCAATAAATCATATATCTATACATATAATAAAAGTCAAAGTTTGTATGCGACGTAGGACAGAGGTAGGTAGGATGTAGGGCGGACGTCTTTGTGGCAGCTTTCTGATTGGCTGCCACTGTGGTGCTATTTGCATATGGTCTCTGATTGGCCAGCTTCAATAGGAGCCCCTGGTGGAGAAGAGGGTTCATGGCAGAAACGGGGCATGACAGAGGGAAAATTGCATATGGTCTCTGATTGGCCAGCCTCAATTCCAAGATTCCGAGATGATAAAGAGAGGAAAGGAAAAGGCCAGAGGGGGCTGGGTCAGAAAATAACCAATACAGACCACACTTGGCACACAGAGCCTGCAAGACCGACTCGACATCCTACTGCAGTTTGGAGGAGGATGAACCATGGATGATGGGACTTGCAGTACCATCATTCACTTTTCAACTTTTGTGACCTTCATCCAATGACTGATCAAGACCAAACTTGGCACATAGACCTCTCATGACCCACTTACGCCCTGGTGTGGTGTGGCCAGGGATGGAGCATGGATTATGGGACTTGCAGTACCTTCGCTCCATTCCTGAGACCACTACAACCCTCATCCAATTACCGAATAATTACCAAACTTGGCACACTGAGACTCCATGATGCACTCTACATCCAGGTGCAGTTTGAAGGAGGATGCACCATGGACGATGGGACTTCCAATACCTGCACTCCCTTCCTAAGACCATTACAACTGCCAACAATGATGGATCAGGACCACAATTTACACAGAGAGCCCGCATGACCCACTCTACATCCTGGTGCGGTTTGGAAGAATTTGACAATGGATGATGGGACTTGCAGTCACTTCACTCACTTCCTGAGACCACTGAGACCCTCGCCAATGACTGATCAAGACCAAACTTGGCATACAGAGCCCCCATGACCCACTCTACATCCTGCTGCTGTTTGGAGGAGGGTGGACCATGGATGATGGGACTTCAAGTACCTTCACTCACTTCCTGAAAACAATGCAGCCGTTATCCAATGACCAACAAAGACTAAACTTGGCATAGAGTACCGCCATTACCCATTTTCTCTAATAACCCGGGCAGCGCCGGGTCCCCAAGCTAGTATAAATATAAATGAAAAGTTTTAATGAGATATGTTGTGTCTCCATACATTTTGTTATTACATTTTACGTATGTGTCTGTATCTCTTATAAGGGGTTGGGTTAACCTCTGGTTTGCTCATGAAACTACATAACTGTGTTGCAAAATGATACATGTCTAAAAAAGTGTCACTGACATGAAATGTTTGGAAAGCTCTACTTTAAAGGGATTACTCTGGTAGAGAGGAGGCAGATCCCCCCCCCTCAACACAACCACTACTTCTGCTGCATTTAACTCTTTCGTTCCCCACTGTGCCACCAACCCTCCCAAGCAGTTTTTGGGAGTATACATGGGGCTACAAAGAGAAGGGAGAAGTCGCAGAAGTTGCTTCCTCTGATCTTCTACTGTGTAAACATACTCTGGGAGAGATTTGGCTTGAAGAAGGGTCTTTCACTTGGCGAAGTTTGGATCTAAGTAAGATTTATGTAGAAATGCTTAGGTAATAGCAAATGTAGCTGCATTGACATAAAACATCTGTGCTTCAAGGCATGAGCAAACAACCAGCTGGTGCAATGAATAATATATTTCTAGACAACTTTTTTTGTTAGGAGAGACAATATTTTTTACTCAATGTATTTACAAACAATGGTATATTTGAACATCTGCTGAAAAGCTAACAGTTGTGAAATAGCAAGAAGATGCATATATCTATATCTATAGCTATAGCTATATATCTATCTCAGATTGTGTTATGTATGCTTCGTAGACTATCAGAAATATTAAGGACATCAACTGAATTAGTTTGCACCTGGGAGACAAATTTAGATTTGTTTCTACTGAGGCATGATGCCTCTTCTGCAGCAGTGACTAACTGTTGACAACTGTTTACTTTAGGCTAAGGAGTAAATTGCTTTAGCTCTAATATAGATACAGTCTGATCGGATTTGGCTGAAACCCTTATATGGACTGTTTACACTTTTACTGAATATTGGCTACACCATAGAATTTGTGAACTGAGATCTTTCAGAATAGTTAATAGAACATTTCCAGCCCAGTTCAAGGATAACAAAGACTATATTTTCATCAAAATTGAAAGCCTTTCTTTCAGGTTCTCCAGGGAGCTTAGGAACCAGAAATCCTTTATGTTAATTATTTGGTGTTTCTATGTACTATTTGCAATGGTATTCTTATTCATTTGGCTGTGATTTCCTTTAATTATGATTATTTATTTTCATTTGCAGAACTAAAAGAAATTGTATTTGTCATCCAAAGTCAAAGGAATTCTTTTCATTTGAAGAAAGCAGAGGAGTTGAAACAAAATATTTTGAATCAGGCTGCAGCTCTTGGAAAGGTATGAACAGATGCAGTGATAAATCTGTTGCCTTTGTCTTAAAACTTCCTATTTGAATTATAGTTCTAGAATGTGTTTGATAAAGTTTATTTAACTAAGGAAAGAGTTTTATTTAAATATGGATTAGGATTTATTTTAGTTGACAGCAAGGTGTCTGATTTTTATGCATGCAAGATTGTATATGATGTTTGTTTTTACTGTTCAGCGGCAGAGACCTGTGCAATGTTTTCTTTTAACCAGGAATACCTATATGTACATTAGGGTCAGGAATGTATGGGCAAATGGAGATAGAAATGACCTTACTCAGTGGTTCTCAACCTGTGGGTCCCCAGGTGTTTTGGCCTTCAACTCCCAGAAATCCTAACAGCTGGTAAACTGGCTGGGCTAATTGTATACTCCACCATCTTTAAAGACTGATTCATTTGCTTGTGACTGTGTTCCCTATTATAATATTTCTTCATTTTGGAATATGCACGTTTATTGGTTTTCCCTCCCACACTCTTGTGTCTGTCGCTATGACAAGGTTACATGAACAAAGCATTTCTTTATTCTGGAGCAGGAATTAAGTGGTTTAAACTACAATATGATTCCTGTACCTCTAGTGGATACATTCCTGAACCACCTGCGTAACAAGAAAGTGATGGATAATGAAAATTAACATCTAATGAAATAAACAACTGAATAACCATAAACTGGAGTGCCTAGAACATTCCTAGAAAGTTATCCCCTCTTGAAATGTTTTAGGTATTTTAGCAAGATCCTGTAGAAGCATACCTTAGTCATCTAGGTGACTTAAATAATTCCTAGAGAAAACATATTTTGTCAGATGCACCCGCATCTGAGTATACTAATTCCATGGGTATGAGGTCATAAAGTAAAGGTTTCCCATGCCATTAAGTCTGGTTGAGTCCGACTCTGGGGGGGGGGGGTGTTGCTCATCTCCATTTCTATGCCGAAGAGCCGGCGTTGTCCGTAGACACCTCCAAGATCATGTGGCCAGCATGACTGCAGATGCGGTATCTATTGATCTACTAACATTTGCATGTTTTCGAACTGCTAGATTGACAGAAGCTGGGGCTAACAGTAGGAGTACACCCCACTTCCCGAATTTGAACCGCCAACCTTTCGGTCAGCGAGTTCAGCAGCTCAGTGGTTTAATCTGCTGCACCGCCGGGGTTCCATGATGGTTATACTGTGTTTTTTAAAATTATGAGTTCTACATCTACATCATGCCTCCTTTGCAAGTCTTATTCTAATATAGTCTTTAACTTCTGTGTTTTCAAATATTTGAATGGAATAGATGGTATTTATGCACTATTTTTCCAGAGAGTAGTGACTGACACAGTGGGTTAATTACAAATAAAAGGTTAAGACTGAGTATTAATCAAAACTGCATAGTATAGATAGCTGGGTAGTAGAATAGGCTGCCCTAGAATATGGTGGAATGGTTACTTATCAGCCAAGTTGTATTAATGGATATTTTACATGAACACAGAATTGGACTAGATGTAAGAACATAAACACCATGTTAGACCAGTCCAAATATTTAGCTAGGGGACATTTTGCTCAATTGGTACCTAGTTGGTTGCTTGTGTGAAGCCCACCAGATGATGTTAGTGGAAGAGTGTGCTCTGCATCAGTTGATACATAGAAATATGCTACCTTTAATGCTGTAGGTGACGTAGAACCATCTACATTGGTAGCCATTGATGGACCTGTTCTTCATAAATTCCTCAAATTCCAAACAATTTAGCAAGCAACTCTATATCTTGTCCGTGAGTTTGCTATTTAACTAAGTGCAGTGTGAAGAAGTACATCATTTTATCTGATCTAATCTTCCATTGTTTAGCTTCAGTGGACAATGCCAGGTTCTTCCAATTTCCTCTATACAATGCATAATTATATATATATAAGTTGTTCCTTTTCTTAATATCCTCTTTTCCAAATTAAACAGTTTAAGCTCTCCTTGTGGAACATTTTGTCCAGTCTCTTGGATCATTTTGTAGTCCGTAGACACTAACTGGGATTGGCAGATATAAAAACTGCTAGATCATTTATAGGAGCCATGCCTAGTATCAGCTTGGCCAGAGAGATGTGGTGTAGAAGAGTGTTATTTGTGAATGGTCCAGAGACTTCATATATTAGTCTGAAGAGGTTAGCACAAAATTGAATCTTATCAGTGCAGATCTGTTCACATAAATTAATGATTTTAAAAAGTCTCATGTTACCACTAGATGTCAGCACATTGTTACATGTGTTTGCATCCACAACTAGGGTTTATAACTTGTGTAAAAACCTCTTATGTAAATTACTCTAGAAATTTAGTTCTTTTTCAAGATTTGTCTTTGAGTGTGGAATTTACACCTCTCAAATATTAGTCTTGAATTCTTTCGCATTTTGTCCTACTTCTTCTCCGGGGAATTAAATTTGAATACATTGCTTTCCTCACCAATTCTCACATTTTACATTTTACAATTATAACTACTTCATAAAGTAAATCAGATTATGGGCTAGCAATTGGTCCAAGCTTGTTTAGTTATGGATAAATGAAAATTTGAACTTCAGTGTTTCTGGTGTTGGTTTGAACTACTGTCTATTGCAGTATACAGAGCAGAATTAGACAACAGAAATCCAAAGACCCAACCTGGTCCCTTCAGTTCCAGATGGTGTTCTATTTATTTATCTATCTAAGGGGCCATCATGGGACCCCGGTGGTGCAGCAGATTAAACCACTAAGCTGCAGAACTTGCTGATTGGCAGGTCGGCAGTTTGAATCCGTGGACGGGGTGAACTCCCGTTTTTAGCCCCAGCTTTTGTGAACCTAGCAGTTCAAAAACATAAAAATGTGAGTAGATCAATTGGCACCGCTTTGGTGGGAAGATAACGGTGCTTCCTGCAGTCATGCTGACCACATGATCTTGGAGACGTCCACGGACAACGCCAGCTCTTACGCTTTGAAATGGAGATGGGCACCATCCCCTAGAGTCAGACACAACTAGACTTAATGCCAGGGGGAAATCTTTACCTTTATCTGTCTATCTGTCCATCTACCACTCAAACACATACACTTATGTACACATAGTTCCATACACAAACATACGTATATGTTATGCAAAATGTACATCAGCATGCTGCTAGTAATAGATGTATAGTTCTGTGAGGATTCATCTTTTAATTGTTTCAATATGTTCAAAGTGCATTCTTCTTTGTAGTTTGAGTGGCCATAGTTGACAATCACAGACACCCTCAATCCCAGGAGAAGTTATTTTACTGGTGCTAGCGGAGTTTCAGGTTTACTGCCCCTTGTCTTGATTCTCATATGACTGTAAAAAGGGTAGTGACCCCTACGCACATTGAAATCCCTCTAGACTAACTGAACAACAACAGAAACATCTGGTACAAAATGTAGGCCTGCTGTTCAAATACTATCAGCTCTCCCCCCCCCCCCCCCCATTATGACTTTTAAGCCTCTTTTGCCTGGTGAAAAAGTCAGTGGAATTTTGAAAGCTTGCACAAAGTTTATTGTACATTTTGTTTGGCAAATAAAGGTATTTGCTCTGTTGTAGATTTTGTTTTATTTTTATGGGTAAATATTGGAAATTTGATGGAACTCTCTTGAATGGGGAGAGAATCTAAATTGCTTTTGTGAGCCTGCAGCTCGGTTTTTGCAAAACTTCACCTGAATCACTGATTTAATAATAATAATAATAATAATAATAATAATAATAATAATTTATAATCCACCCTCTCTTCCTGAGGGGACTCAAGGCAGGGTGTTTTTCTAGTGTTTCTGAAAATCTGTGTCAAATAGAAATGTCAAAAAATTAGAATTTCAAATTATTTGATAAATTAAACTGAAGATGATTTTCTGGTATTTCTGAAACATGTAATTGAAATTACACCATTCTGTGCGTAATGAATTACACCTGTGTATAATGGCTTATACAATATAAAATAGCAACCCAGTGAGCTTAGTGTAGTGAAGTTACTCAGAATGGTGTTGATGCTGGTCTTTGAGCCGTTGGCTAGCCATCTTTGGATAGTGTCTAGAAAAGAAAGAGACAATTGACACAAATATAGTACTAATCCCTGGAACACTGGGGAGGAAATTGCCAGTTCCCCGTGTCAGAAAGCTTAGAGTACAAGGATTAGTAATTAGTAAAAGGATTAGTAATTAGTAATCTGTGTGATTAATGTGCATTTCATAGAAGTGCTTGATATATATCTTTTATGGAACTGCATTTTAATATCTGTGTTTGTAGAATTTTATAGGGTAAGAAATATAATAATAATAATAATAATAATAATAATAATAATAAGATTTGAGAAGCACAAGTTCAAATGACTGTTTTCTCTAAAATTCATGGGGTGGTCTTGGGCATGTTGTTACTATAACGAACTTTACAGGATTGTTTTGGAATTAAAATTCCCCATACAATGTCAGGGAAAATGCAGAACGCAAATGAAGCCATAGAAACGAACACAGAAAATAAGTGATAGCAAACATTAAAAATTGCTGGGATGGAAATCAAATTACAGAATTGTATAGCAGCGAGTGTTACAGGTGACTGTTTTCTTTGAATTAAGTTTTATTATCTCTGCTAATGAGCATTCCCATTTTGTTTTATTATGCATGCCAACAACATAATTACAGGATGTGTTGTGCCGTTTCCATCTGTCTAGCTAGCGGATTGTTAATTTTTCTGCATTTGTTTTTTTTTTACTGCAACATGTTCATATTTATTTTGATGTGAAGTAGTAGTAGTAAAACATCCAATTTCTTTGCTAACACTTGAAATATGTTAATTGGCATACACAGGATAGCTCAGTGGGGAAAGAAAAGGAAGCCATTGTTTTTCCTTTGAAAAAACAAACTGAGTGTGAATTTTTATGTATATGATACATTATATGAATAAGGCACTGAAATTAACTTTATTAGTGCAAATTACTGCTAGTTCTTGGGGTAGTTGTTACAGCTGCAGTTAATGTAGGGTTCAACT